ATTCGAAAATGCGGGCGCGCGCGGCGCACCTCCACCACGACGCGGCGAAAGTCAGCCCAGGCTTTAAGCAGTCAACCCAGACGTGGTGGCCGAGGCTGGCGGCCATCTTGCAGGAGAACTCAGTCGACAAGCGCCTCCGCGTTTTGGAAACCTCGGCTTGCGACCGGAGACGGCTGCAGCGTCCTTTTGGCGCGGGCTGGACGGCGCCCCGTGCTTGGACAGCTGCGGCATCTTCGTTCTCAACAAGCCTGGCGAATACCGCCTGTCCTGGCCACTGAGCGCCTTGCGCGACAAGGACGAGACGGGGCTGCCCTTCAAAAGCCAGTCGGCGACCGGTGACACAGGGCACGGAAACACTAGCAAGGCGGAAGCCCCCGCAGCAGCGGGGGCACCCACCAACCCAGCAGCGGGGCCGACGTACTGGCACAGACAGGGAAGAGGCCCTGGGATGACGCACGATCGATGCTACCAGAAAAAATGTGCCCGCGAGCACCTCCAGGCTTTCGCCTCTGTCGGACGATGAAGAAGCCGCTCGACGTGGACATCGTAGAGGTGGATGGGCGTTCTACCCTCTATCCTCTGATGTGTTCCACATGCACCTGGCCAGCGATCGTTTTGCGGACAGGAAGCACACGAAGAACAAAAACAAGAAGGACAGGCGCGCCCAGAGAGCGCAAGCAGCTGCGATCGAGGGCGCCGCAGCAGCGGCGCCCGGGCAGCACGGCCCCGAGCACCAGGCGCCAGAGCAGCGCCGCGAGGCGGACGAGCAAGGCGCCCGCGCCCAACAGGCTTCGCGGTCACAAAACTGGGCAGACGCAGACGTGGACGGCGAGGGCAACTGGCCCGCGGCAGGCGCTGGAAGGTCGTGGCGGGAGAGTGGGGGGAGGGAGGGAGGGGGAGGGGTGGGGGAGGGAGGGAAGAAGGGGGAGGGTAGGAGGGAAGAGCGAGAATGACGAACAGGACGAGCAGGACGAGAGATGATAACAAGGAGTGAGATGATACATGTATGTAAAATGTTGTCCCCAAGGTGGTGGCAGGCGGCGCAGTGGCCATCTCCAGTGCCTTCGCCGCTGGAGCAGACGCAGGCGTCGCCGCCGCAACAGCCCTTAGAGCCCCCGCAGCAGCGAGGGTGAAGGTTGTCAGAACAGCAGCCGCATGAAGCGCCACCAAGGCATCCGCGAGAGCCCACGCAACAAGCAGAACAATGGGGCACGGAGACCTGGCGGGGCCAATGGTGGGGAGGGTGGGGGAGCTGCTGGGGCAAGGAGAGCCAGTAGCCACGGCCGAGCGGCGCCGCTTCCTCGAATTCGAACGGCAGGGTCGAACCCGCCTGGCGCGACTTGACAACGGCGTTCCTCGGCCAGCGAACACGGAAGATCGGTGGACAAGTCAGTGGACGAGCGGCCAGGGGCGCTGGGGCCCCAGGCAAACGTGGGAGCGGAGGACCACACAGGAGTGGGTCGAGGGCAATCCGTGGGAGGAAGAGGGCAATCCGCGGGAGGAACTTCAATGAGCCGCGGCACAGGGGCCGCCCCTCCGCAGCAGCAGAGGGAGGCCTCATCGGCCGAACCGCAGTGCTAAGTGATCGGCGGCGGCTCGCGCGCGCCTTTGCGCTGGGAGATCGCTGCCCGAGCGGGGCAGGAAAAAAACATTGCTGTCATCACTGCTGTCGTCGTCCCCCTTCTCCTACTTCGTTATCTTGTCCCTCCCCCTCCCCAACCCCCGTCCCGCCATCGTATTTGTCGTCTCTTGTATCGTCTCCAATCGTAGCAGGAGCTCCCGCGGCATAAGAACTGAGGAGGAGGACCCATTTGTGACAGAGGGGGTCCATCTTCGACCCCCTCTGTGACAGAAAGGGGTGCAAAAACGAATTGTCACTTAATTGAGGCTTTCGGATTACGTGTTCGGCAAACACACAGCCCAGTAGAAGGCATCGTCCAACGGAACTCTCCTCGCTGACCTCTGCATCAGACTGAAGTTCATCCTTGGAGGCACTTTCTGCGAGGAGCCGCCCAGGAGGGGCAGGTGGCCTGTTGCGACGCGGCAAGACACCGAAGCACGAACCTAAGCCAAAACAATTCGGCCAAATCGACTTTGCGATCGTGCCTGCAAAATGTAAGCACTAACTGATCTCTGTGCACAGCGACCGTGAAAGACCTCTCGCGTTGCACCATTTCCCGATGCTTGCTGATCTCGGCATCAGCGTCCCGAAGGAGTCCCGCAGTCTAGAGCAAGCCCCGCTGGACTGGGCAGCTGTCAAACGCCGACATCCACCAAGGACTTCCACGAGGCATTCAATTGCCACCTGCAGAACGCCAGCCTCACGCACATGGTCGTGAACGAGATCGAAAAAGTGATGACAGAGACCTTCCACGTAGCCGCATTACAAGCTTTGCCGAAGCTACCTGCCACCACGCACAAACGTTGGACTTAGTTGAAAACCTTGGATATCGTTGAGCAGCGAATACCTGCGCGCAGACGTTTGGATGTCGCGCGCGAACGGATGCCCAACGCAAACGTCAAGCAGTCGGTCAAGGACGACCGGGGCAAATAGCGACGGGCTCCTGGCAGCAGGGGCGTGGCAAGCGCGCAAGCTTCGAAAGGGCACCCGGCCAAAGCAGGGCAGGGTCTAGAATATGGCAGGCTGCGCGGTTGAATCCGATGCTCGCGCAGAGACCTTAGCAGAGTACTTCAGCGAAGCTCAGCGGGCCACCCCATGAACGCCGAGCCGCTAGGCCCCCTGCTTCCGTTGAACGCCGACGATATCACGGTCGAGGAGGCGATTGCGGCGGCAAGAAGGATGATGTGGGGGGGAAAGCGCAGGGCCCAGACGGCGTGCGGGGGGACCTCTGGAAAGCGATTTGCTCGAGAGACTCACCAGCGAGCTCATGGGCAGTGGCACTGTGTTCGGCAAAGGGTTGTTGAACCTGGCACAAATCCCTTGTCACGGCGATCTTCAAGAAGGGCGACCCTGGATTGTGCGAAAGTTACAAACCGATCTGCCTTCTGCAAGCTGGTTGCACACTCTACGCCGCAAAGCTACTGCAAAGACTCAAAGCCGCGGGAGCGGAAGACCGCGTGTCAGTTCGGCTTCACGTCGAACCACGGTACAGCCGATGCCATCATACTATCCAGGCAGCACCTGGATGCAGCCTGGGCCGCGCGAGACGGGGAACTCGTTCTACTGGCGCTGGACTGGGCGAAGGCTTTCGACCACGTGCATCCAAACTCCTTGATGAGCGCATTGGCGCGCTTCGGTCTCCCCTCGCACATGCTCAACGCCATCGACGCAATCTACGATGACAGTCGCTTCGCGGTGCGGGACGCTGGCCCAGGGATCTGCCAGGGCTGCCCACACTCCCGTATTCTTTTCGCCATCGTGATGACGATTCTCTTGCACGACGCGAAAAACGAGCTCGGGAAACAGGCAGAGCACGTGGACGACCTCGCTTACGCCGACTACACTTCGATCGTGGCCACCAGCGCTGCGCAGGCCACGGAATACATGGCCGCCGGTGAGCGCGCGGGCGCGAACTACGGCCTCAAGTACAACTGGAAGCAGCTCGAAGTACTCCCGGTTCGATGCACCACCGAGATTCCGATGTCGCACGGAGGTCTGGTAAAGCAGAAGGGCAGCTTCGCCTACCTCGGCTGCGACCCTTCAACGGACGGCACGGTGGGATCGGAACTCAACCGGAGGCTCGGGGCAGCCAGAACCGAATTGTATATGTATCACGGGTATGATCACACGCTGCGAATACGTCCCGGAGGAAGATCCAGATCTTCGACGCCTGCGTGGTCAGCAGACTTCTGCATAGCCTGCACACCGCATGGCTGAGGAGCGCAGAACTCTCAACATTGCGTTCCAGGCGCGTTACTTGCGGACAATGTTCCACACCACACACTCGAATTACAGCCGCATCTCGAACGCGGAGGTTCTACAAGGGGCAGGGCGGCGCAATCTGAAGAGCATTATCCTGGCAACTGGGCCTCTTCCACGGCATCGCGCAGAAGGCGAACGACCACCCAGTAATGCAAGCTGTCTTCCGCCACGGCACGAACGAGGTTCTGATCGGCAAAAGAAAAAGAGGGAGACTCCGACAGACGTGAGTCGCACAGGTGAACAGGCACACGAGATTGGTTTGCGAATCTGCATATATGAATACACACATTTATAAATCGGTTGAAAACCTGCGTACGCTGCCAGTCGACAGATGGCAGGCGGCAGTGCGGAAATACACCGGTGGTTGATCTCTCTCCACTCCTCCTCCTCCTCCTCCTCCTCCTCCTCCTCCTCCTCCTCCTCCTCCTCCTCCTCCTTCGCCTTCGCCTCCTTCTCCTCCCTCTCCAAGTCATTCAGTGCTGCCGGCCGTAATGCTATGAATCAGATGGCCCTTTTGGCAGGCGAGGAGCAGCCGAGCACCGGCCGTTCGCGCCATGACCTTATTGCTCATGTGCCTGGCTGGACACACGGCGCATTTCTTCCTCAAGCACTCTCGGGTTGGCGAGTTGCCCAATTCCGAGACTGCTCGATTGCCACATCCGAATTCGCGTGGCATCTTCTGCGCTGGTTCTATGTTGCTTCCGGTAACACTGGGACGAGCTCGGGCACAAGCATCGTCATCATTGCGCGGAAGAACACACATCCCCTCAGAATGAAGATCGCAGAGAGCCCGGTATTGGCGGATCATTGCGGCTGCGCCTGAACAAAAACACCGACACTGACACAAGTATCCAACGCCAAAGGCGATTTGACTCATGGATGCCCAGGTACACAACCTCATCTGTTCTGGATGAATAAGAGATGCTGCATGTGCATGCAGACCATACGATATATGATAGACAACACGTGCAGTCATGATTATCGGGGCCGCCTGTATCATTCAGACGCGTTCGGGAAAATACATGTGCTGGACGTCTTACATGTAGTATGTTGCAGCTGCTATGTTCCCATCATTCCCATTTCCTCCTCACGACGTGCCCGATCTCACAATCCCCACCAAAGCCGTCGTAGCGCAGGGTGAGCAGAATGTTCGCCCTGCCCTTCTTCGAGAGCGTTGCCAGGCCTTTCCCCTGGAGGTGACGGAGATATTATAGTGGCCGGAACAAGATGAAGATCCAGATCAATGAGATGAGAAAATGTCTGCCAGCGTGGACCAGAGAACATTATCCAGAACTGCAAACACTTTGTGGGAAAGGATATACTAGGCAGGAATACAAGCATATGGACTCAAATCGCCGGCCCAACGGGCCAGAGGCGTGCTAAGATCTCCGGTAACTGGTAAACAATATTTTTTCTGGTTCGCGCGCGCGGGGCGGCCCCTGGATCAAAAGTACCCCGGGCGGAGCCCGGGACACGCCCGGGACACTCCCCCAGATCCTCCAGGATCGCCCCAAGAGGGCCCCAAGAGGCCCCCAGCACAATCCAAGAGAAGTCCGAGACGCCCGAAGATCGCTCCACGGCGCCCAAGATGGCCTCCAGAGGGCCCAAGAGGTCTCCAAGATGACCCAACAAGCCTCCAAGATGCCCCAAGAGGCCTCCAGGAGCACTCCCAAGAGGGCCCCAAGAGGCAAAAATCAATGGTTGTGTTCCTAGGTTTTGGACAGATTTGGGCGTTTCAACCTTTTCGGTTCCCCGACGCCCCTAAACGGCTCAAGAGGCCTCCAAGATCGCCCCAAAAGGGCCCAAGAGGCCCTCAAAAGGGCCCCAAGACGGCCCAAGACGGCTCCAAAACGGCCCCAGAGGCCTCCAAGACGGCCCAAGAGGGCCCCAAGAACGCCCCCAACACGGTCCAAGAGAGGTCCGAGACGCCCGAAGATCGCTCCACGGCGCCCAAGATGGCCTCCAGACGGCCCAAGACGTCTCCAAGATGGCCCAAGAAGCCTCCAAGATGCCCCAAGAGGCCTCCAAGAGAACTCCCAAGAGGGCCCCAAGAGGCAAACAAACAATGATCGTCCTTTGGTTTTGGACAGATTTGGGCGTTTCAACCTTTTCGGTTCCCCGACGCCCCTAAACGGCTCAAGAGGCCTCCAAGATCGCCCCAAAAGGGCCGAACGATTCAGATCTTATGTTATGTAACCGCACCTCTAAGAGGCACACACACTTCCTTACCACAATACGCGGGCTGTTCCGTATGTCCATGGAAGGTTATAAGTAACATTGCGCGAAGACTCGAAGAAAACAACTTGTGGGTAAAACGATTATGTTGTCGATTTCCGGCTCGGCTCCTGAAGGAAAGGCGGCAAAACAGGCAGACGATCCCGCATGGCGGTGGTCGCGCCGCGGGTGGGCGCCAAACGGCGCCAACATATAAAGAGAGCACTACGCAAGAGGCTGCCCGCATAAATGGTCCGAGGTGGGTGCCGTGAGTGAAGAGCTGCCCCCCTCGCGTTCCTTCTCTTCCTATTTTGCTACGTACTTCTCATCGGTCTGTACTATCCCCCGCATTCCTCGTCCTCCTCTTCTATTATCCATGGGGGGAGCAGCAAAAATCCCGCCATGAAATAATCCGTGGCGGCGACGGCAACCGCGTTGCCGAGGGTGTCCATCCAATCGCCTGAATACTGGTTCGGAAGGTGTCTATGCTGCTACCGATGCCATATGAATCCCCCCTCCTCACTGCATCATTCGTATTTCACTCCTGCTCTTCACATTCCAACTCCCAATCCACCTCCAAAACATCTTCATTCCTAACGTATTCCCCCTTCCCTAGTCCCTCCTGTCCTCTCTTCATCTCACCTCTCATGACCTCTCCTCCTCCTCCTCCTTCTCCTCCTCCTCGCTATCCTCCTAGTTATCCTCCTTTATCTCCCCTACAGATTCCTACTCCCTCTCATCATCCTTCTCCTCTCCTCCTCCTCCTCCTCCTCCTCCTCCTCCTCCTCCTCCTCCTCCTCCTCCTCCTCGTTGCCCTTATCGTCCTGCGAATCCTCCTTATACTTCGCCCTCATGCCTCCGCCTTCCCTCAGCCCTCCCTCCTCCCTGTTCATTCCCGCTTTCCCCCATGGGTCCCTCCTCCTACGGCTCGTCCATGCCACCCCTCTCCTGATGCGCGCCTCCTCGTGATCCTCCTCCTCCTCCTCCTCCTCCTGCTCCTCCTCCCCCCCCTGCCCCCCCCCCCCATCACGCCTCCGCTTCATCCCCCCCGTCTCCAGTCCTCCTCCTCCTCCTCCTCCTCCTCCTCTTTCAGCAATGCCTCCATCCAATTTCCCATCGGACGTGTCCGTAGGGCGGGCTGGGCGTTTCGCCTGAGGCGTCCCCGCGAGTTATGATCCTGAACAGATTGAAGGATGGAAGGTGGGTCATTTTCAACATGTGGCTCTCGTCTTAGCGCTGCGCACATTCGCCTTCAAAGTTTGCAGCAACGTCGAGGATGGAGAGCGAGTCAGTTTCAACATGCGCCTCTCGACTCAGCGCCGCGCACATTCGTCTTCATAGATTGCAGCAGCTTCAACGATGGAGGGCGGCTCCTGTTCAAAATAGAGTTTTCGCACTAACGCCGCGCAAATCGGGCTTCGGTGTTGGCAGCACATTCAAGGCTCCGTACGGCCTTCAGCTAAGATTCAGGACTGCCAGCACGCAACAGTCACGTTGGTTCACACCTCCTCTTCATCCCCCCCCGCCCCCTTCCTCCTCCTCCTCCTCCGCCCCCTCCTCCTTCTCCAGCATTGCCTCCTACATCACTTTTCCTTAAAGATAATTCCTCTCGCTCGACCCCCGGACGTGTCGATAGGGCTGGCTGGGCGTTTCGCCTGAGACATCCCCGCGAATTCTGATCCTGAAACTTGAAATGTGCAACATATCGAAAGATGGAGGGCGGGTACTTTTCAACATGTGGCTCTCACCTTAGCGCCGCGCACATTCCATCCAAAGTTTGCAGCAGCGTCGAGGATGGAGAGCGAGTCCGTTTCAACATGCGCCTCTCGATTCAGCGCCGCGCTAATGTTTCTTCAAAGTTTGCGGCAGCTTCAAAGATGGAGGGCGGCACCTGATCAAAATGTAGTTTCACACGGCGTTCTAGTACGATTCCAGAATGCCAGCTGCAACAATCACGTTGGCTCGTAGTGTTGAAATCCCAAGAATGATGTTCTGACGCCGCGATTGATAATTGTCAAGACGCAACGGTCACGTTGATTCGCGACGTTGATCTTTCAAGAATAACGTATTGGCACTGTTGAAGATTATCATACTGTTGTCTTCCATTGGGGTACTCCCCGCAATGCAAGGTTATTCTCGTCGGGACAAATGCAGAAAGAACTGAAAAGGAGGGCGTCTTGCAACATCATTGACGCGTCTTGGATGTACGCTGGTCCTCCTCCTCCGCCTCCACTCCATTTCTTAGTCCTCCCTCCCATACAGCCTCCTCCTCCAGATGATAGGTTCTGGCCTTTTCGGCCTCAGGATTTCTCTGGTGTTGCGGCCTCTGCTCTGCTCTTGCAAATTAAGAGGCCAGAGTTTCTCGCGCTCCACTTGTTTCCGGGCATGAGGAGGTCTGGGGATATACAGCACCCTTCAGTATGCCTGGCCGTCCTCGGCTTGTGTCATATACTGTATGTCTGTGGACGTCGTCATAGATCCCCACAGAGGGGACCTCACGCAGGTTTCGGTTATGAGTGAATGGCTTGGTCACGTGCGTGACAAGAGGGTTCTCAATTCAGGGGGGGGTGCTCCCTGCGAGACGTGGAGTGCTGCTCGGTGGTACGAAGGAGGCCCCCCCCCTGCGGACCCAGGAATATGTTTGGGGAGTCCTTTGGTGCACGGCCCGCCAAGGCCTCCAAGTTTCTGTTGGCTCCCAGCTGCTGCACGCCCTCGCTCGCCGTCTAGCTGCCCACATGGCGGCTGGCACCAGTGGATGGCTGGAGCACCCTCTTCCCCCCACGTGGATCGCTGGTGCTCCCACCTCATTCCGTTAGCCCCCTCTCGTCGCTCTCGTGTCTGCTCCTCACTCATGCGCGGTGGATTTCGACCATGGTGAGCACCTCCCAGCAGACACCGCCTGGGACACAGTTGGCAGACCCCCCACCCGCCTTCTTGGCCTCCGTATACCATCCCTCTCCTCCTTTCTCCAGGACACCCCTGGCAAGGGCAGATGCTCTCACGGTCCCGGCGCTCACAAGACCCTTCTCGGCAAAGGCTCAGACGGCTCTTTCAGGACTGCTGCTAAGAAGACTTGCTCTTGTGGACTGTCTACGACAATTGCTTCTAGCATTGATAAATTCTCTCAGAGACATCATTGCGGTGAATGATAAAGAGGCTGACTACGTTTTCGGTGCGGATCCTGAGGACCTCCGTCGTGGTTTGCTCGATGTTTACGTTTCTGACCTCGGGGACCGAAACTTTTCGGAAGCTCCCGATTATGCGCCTGGAAGGCGCAAGGATCGCAAGGCCGACCCTGAGAGGGATCGGTTCAGAATTCAGGAGTCGAACAGTGTTTTCAGCTCCCCTCCGACGCAGGGACAGGAGCCTCCTGCACCCAACCAGCCCGAGGAGGCTGAAGCGGAGGAGGAGGAACAAGCTTTCTTGGACATGCTGGAGCAAGAGGCGGCACCCGTTCCGTCTGCCCTTCTCTCCTCCCCCCCTCAGCTCGATCCCTCGTCTGCCTCGCCTCCCCACCACCTCTCGTCATGTCTGAGGCTCAGCTCGACCTCATCAGGGTTAAGACGGAGGCCGCCCGTGCCAGAACGGCGGCCCGCTTGTTGGCGCAACGTGCGCCCTGGAATGCACCACGTGGCGAGCTTCACTCAATATCTCTTCTGCTGTCCCCCGCCGTGAGGGGCTGTGGTGTGATGGGGGCATACCTTCGTTTTTGATCGTTGCCCTGCCTTGTTCTGATGTTGCACAGGTCTGGTCTCAGGCCGCGGTAGTCACAGTTCCCGACAGACAAAGCGGTACCGAGCACGCCATGCGCCAAGCCGTCGTCGAGCAAGAGAGCTCCTTCCTCCTTTACCCAATGCGTCCCTCGTTTTACGGCTCGTCCATGCCACTCCTCTCTTGATACGCGCCTCCTCATGATCCTCCTCCTGTTCCTCCTCCTCCTCCTCCCCCTGTTCCCCCCATCACACCTCCTCTTCATCTCCCCCCGCCTCCTTCCTCCTCCTCCTCCTCCGCCTCCTCCTTCTCCAGCATTGCCTCCTCCATCCCTTCTCCTTACAAATAACTCATCTCCCTTGACCCCCGGACGTGTCGGTAGGGCTGTCTGGGCGTTTCGCCTGAGGCGTCCCCGCGAGTTATGATCCTGCAGCTTGACATGTGCAATCGATTGGAGGGGTTCTTTCAAAATGCGGATCTCGCCTTAGCGCCACGCACAGTCGCATTCAAAGTTTGCAGCAACGTCGAGGATGGAAAGCGGGTCCGTTTCAACATGTGCCTCTCGCCTCAGCGCCGCGCAAAGTCGTCCTCACATTTTGCAGCAGCTTCAACGAAGGAGGGCAGCTCCTGTTCAAAATGTAGCTATCGCACAAGCGCCGCCCCGCGCACGCTAATTTCCCAGAAATAGCGTCTTAGCACGATTGAAGACTATCATACGGTTGTCGTCCAATGTAGCACTCCCCGCAATGAGAATTGATGATCGTCGGGACCTACGCAGATAGTACGTAGAGGGAGGGTGTATTGCAACATCGTTGATGCGTCCTGGGTTCATGCTGGTCCTCCTCCTCCATAAATTCGTTGCTCCTAACCTCACCCTCCGTTTCCTGCTCCTCCTCCTCAGCATCAGCTTCCCCATTCCACTTCTCCTCCTCCTCCTCCTCCTCCTCCTCTTCATATTCCTCCTCTTCCCTTCTCACTGCCCATCAATACTCTTCCCTGCCCCCAAAAAACTCATCCCTCATCCTCCGCATCCTCCTCCGCAACACCCTTCCTCCCTCCTATTCGGGTGTCCTCTTCATCCCTCATTCGTTCCCCCTCCTCGTCCTCCCGCCTCCCACTTCCCTCCCTCCTGCCAATCCTTCTCGACCTCATCACCATTATCCTCATCATATGTTCCGACAGCGCGATTACCACCACCAGCGACAAGGTCAAGGCGGCCATGAGGGACGCGCCCCGTGCGCTCGCTGTAACCGCCTCGTCCCGAATACTCAAGGCTGATCACAAGGACGCGTGGCTAGCAACCCCCCCAGCAACCCAGCAACCGAGCAACCCAACGAAAGCAAAACGAAACAAATAATGTTGTTTTACGTTCCCCCGACGAAGCCCCAAGCGGATTCCGATATTTGTTCCGGCGAGGCTCTGGAACAGGGTCCCGTAGGATCCCTATGGAGACCCTGCAGGGCCTATGGGATCCCTATAGGGCCCCCTATAGAAACCCTGCATGGCCTAGGGAAACCCTGCAGGGCTTATAGGATCCCTATCGGGGCTCTTTAAGATCCCTATAAGGTCCTTCTAGGATCCCTGTAAGGTCCCTGTAGCATCCCTGTAGGAGACCCTATAGACATCCCTATAACGTCCCTGTAGGGTCCGTATGAAAACCCTATAGAGATCCGTATAGGGTTCCTTCTAGGGACCCTGTAGAGACCCTATAGGGTCCCGTGAGGAAGCCTGTAGAGATCCCATATAGAG